AAGGATAACTATGTTTGCAGCCACGGCCGTCTAGTGTAGACTAGGCCATATTAGCTGCAGCATGTCCCAGTGGATTTGTGTTATGCTGGAACTACAGTGCTGGCAACTGAAATCCGACCCCCTGAGCGGTGGGTTCACATATTAGCGGTCTCTGTTTCGTAGCTTTACCATCCCGTGTTGTATCTTTGCGATGTAAGCGCACCGCTCAGGGTGTCGTATTTCAGTTACCAGCACTGTTGGTACCCAAACACTGGTTTTCGCAATCTCTTACGAATGCTGGTACAGAAATTTACTTCATCATATGTCTCTGCTGTTTATAGGCCAAAGCTACTACAGTTGCAAGCTCATCTGAATCCGCCTCGGGTGGGACACCAAGGCCGATTTCAAAGACCAAGCCAACCGAAAAGGTATTGTCTTGTTTCATGTTGAGTCTCTCCATGTTCCTCTTGATTCTGTCTCCCCACTCCCTGGGAGACCCATGTGACCAGTTTTGGCAGTTTACAAGTATACGTACAACATCAGTAGAAGTAAAATTGTGTTTGTGCGTGTGTGTGTGTGTGTGTGTGTGTGAAAAAAATTTACTTCATCATATGTCTCTGCTGTTTATAGGCCAAAGCTACTACAGTTGCAAGCTCATCTGAATCCGCCTCGGGTGGGACACCAAGTCAGAATTCAAAGACCAAGCCAACCGAAAAGGTATTGTCTTGTTTCAGGTTGAGTCTCTCCATGTTCCTTTTGATTCTGTCTTTTGATTCTGTCTTCTGTGTGAGTGTGTATGTGTGTGTGTGTGTGTGTTTGTGTGTGTGTGTGTGTGTGTGTGTGTGTGTGTGTGTGTGTGTGTGTGTGTGTGTGTGTGTGTGTGTATCTGTGCATCTGTGTGTCCGCCATTTTTGCGATAAGCTACCTGCAGATTCAGCAGTATTACCAGGTCGTATACGACCCCCTGGCTTTACTGATGTATACGACCTCCTGGTAATACAGTGGTAATACACACTAAAAGAAAGCTTTAAGAGAGCATGTCTGAGAAAACCAGAACATATGTGCAAGTCGATCTCTCAGATTTCGTTCAAAATTTGCAGGTAGGTTTGCTTTCGGGTGTAGATCGACTTTCCTAAGCCCGCACAAAATCTTTTGAAGGGAACCATGAAATTGGTATACCCCTCAATATTGGCACAATATTGGCACGATTTATGGGTCTACAAACGAGCCACGACACAGCGTACAAGAACAAGCTACGAACAAAACTCCATCAAGTTAACATTACCTCACATTAGAAGAGTTCTTGGGGCAGCACTACTTAGCCACGCCAGCATTCCAGAAGACGAGGGCAATCACCCCTTGACGCCACAAATGATCGTCTTGAAAATAGCCAAATTACAAGCGCTGATAAAACAGCGAGCTACGTCCTCAATAAGCAAACACTATACACCGGCAGATAGTAGAACACCTCTTCTAGCACTGAGGACATGTCCCCCATCATCCTTTTTGGATTTTCTTGAAATAAACAATTTTGAATTTTTCCACTCGACCATTCTGAAATACGTCCAAACTCATACCTGCGCAGGAAAGCTCGCCCCTCCGCGACGTCTAGTCAGCAATTTCTACTCCAACACCACTCCCAACACTGCAGAACAAAGTGTATTGTTGACTCTGGCAAGGAAAAGCAGCGGTAATCACTTGTCACTCCAAACGACAAGCTTTTCCTTGTGCCACCAACATTTTTCGGTGCAAAAGTGACTGTATTTTTGCATGTAGTTTTTGGATTTTACTGCAAGAGGAATGAAGAAATCACGTGGATCGTGACGTAGAATAATGCTTTCTGGTGCACGACACAATTTACACGATCACGATCGTTCCTGAGGCGCTATTCGAAACGGACCATGAGGGAGGAGGAAAGATGCATTATATTTCTTGCATGCTCTACTCAGAACATGCAGAAACTATCGTTATAACGCTAGCACTATTGCATTGGCAAGAATTCTATGAGATATTTCCTCTTGCAGTAAGAACAGGGATGCATTTTTTCACACTAACCTCGCTCATCACGAACATGGTTCAACAGGAACTACGGCTAGTTTACATGCTGATGATCCAAGTAGATCTGCAACAGCAAGGAATGAGCGTGGTCCATGCCATCAAGGTCGCTTGGAGTTGACCAGCGCGCGGCCAACACTGGTTGCATGAAGTATGTGGCGCACCCACATGGCAGATTTCTTACGTCATGAACAACGTGACTTGACCCTACTCGCCCTAGTCTCTGTGCTGCATGTTGAGGGAAATTCCCGGCTGGAAGGCCTCCAACACGACATGCGTGCTCTTGAGATGGATATCAAGATGCACTTGATCCAATCTAGATCAACGGGTGATCCATGTAAGTGCAGGTGCGCTTGATCAAGGTGACTCGGAACAACTGCTGAACCGTGATCTACGAGACCTGGCATTCTTGTGTCACGAGGCACGTGATTTCATCATTCCTCTTGCAGTAAAATCCAAAAACTGCACGCAAAAATTCAGTCACTTTTGCATCGAAAAATGTTGGTGGCGCAAGGAGAAGCTTGTCGTTTGGAGTGACAAGTGATCACTGCTGCTTTTCCTTGTCAGAGTAAAAAAAACACTTTGTTCTGCAGCGTTGGGAGTGGTGTTGGAGTAGAAATTGCTGACTAGACGTCGCGGAGGGGCGAGCTTTCCTGCGCAGGTATGAGTTTGGATGTATTTCAGAATGGTCGAGTGGAAAAATTCAAAATTGTTTATTTCAAGAAAACCCAAAAAGGATGATGGGGGACATGTCCTCAGTGCTAGAAGAGGTGTTCTACTATCTGCCGGTGTATAGTGTTTGCTAATTGAGGACGTAGCTCGCTGTTTTATCAGCGCTTGTAATTTGGCTATTTTCAAGACGATCATTTGTGGCGTCAAGGGGTGATTGCCCTCGTCTTCTGGGATGCTGGCGTGGCTAAGTGGTGCTGCCCCAAGAACTCTTCTAATGTGAGGTAATGTTGGCTTGATGGAGTTTTGTTCGTAGCTTGTTCTTGTACGCTGTGCCGTGGCTCGTTTGTAGACCCATAAATCGTGCCAATATTGGGCCAATATTGAGGGGTGTGCCAATTTCATGGTTCCCTTCAAAAGATTTTGCGCGGGCTTTGGAATGTCGATTTACGCCCCAAAGCAAACCTACCTGCAAAATTTGAGCGAAATCTGAGAGATCGACTTGCACATATGTTCTGGTTTTCTCAGACATGCTCTCTTAAACGTTTTGGCTGCCAGTCCCACCGAGCCATCAAAACAAATGTGGTACAAAGGCATTTCCTGACACAGGATAAATGAATAGGCTAGGCGACGTTATACAAGTAGTTCGAAGTAGTGAAGGAAGATTCAGCCACTCTTGCTAGTAAGGGGGTCAAAGAAGCAGGTCAATCCATGTCACTGTCTGGCTCATTGTGACTGTTAGCCCCCACCTCACCAAAAGTGAATCTTTTGCAGCGGGCTCGTCAGCAGTTTCGTCCTCTATTGTGAAACTTCAACTTGGCTGCCGCCTTCAGCAATGCCGGTACCGGTGGCGGAAGAATCCGACTCTCCGTCAGAAACTTCATGTCGTTCCGGGTGCGACGCTGCTGGTTTTTCCCCCCAGAGAGCGGACAAAGTCTTCTGCTGAAAACACATTGCCTTTGTCCTCAAAACCACAAACCTGAACAGTAATTTTACTAACAAAACAGACAGCCGCTCGTACTCGAGTCCAAGACCAAAGCACCCACTTCAAAACCAAGATGAAAGCACTTGTTTCCACTTTGGACATATGCGACATGCCTAGTGTCCGCGCTTTGTCTTTGATGTCCTTGAATTGCACAAGCACATGTGAAGTACACTGTATACAGTGTAGTCGAGTCCAGCAAAAAGTATTTGCAACGCGCGTGAGTGGACATGTCACTAGCGCCAGTACCGTAGACTAGTGGCTGTGCCTGATGACTTGTACTCAGCAGTAGCGGTGGGCACGTGCACTACACGTTCTCTGCCTTTCACATGCGCACGAAAAGTGCGTCTACGCACACTGTGACAGGGCACGCGCATTGCGCATGCAGCAAAAATATCGATGGCCGCAAAAAGGTGGTTTCCGGGCTCCAAGAAAACCATGCGGTGCACGCGCCTGAGACCTGTATGAAGACTGGCTGTAGTGGAGTATAGACCTGTATGAAGACTGGCTGTAGTGGGGTATAGACCTGAATGAAGACTGGCTGTAGTGGAGTATAGACCTGTATGAAGACTGGCTGTAGTGGAGTATAGACCTGTATGAAGACTGGCTGTAGTGGAGTATAGACCTGTATGAAGATTGGCTGTAGTGGAGTATAGACCTGTATGAAGACTGGCTGTAGTGAAGTATAGACCTGTATGAAGACTGGCTGTAGTGGAGTATAGACCTGTATGAAGACTGGCTGTAGTGGAGTATAGACCTGTATGAAGATTGGCTGTAGTGGAGTATAGACCTGTATGAAGACTGGCTGTAGTGGAGTATAGACCTGTATGAAGACTGGCTGTAGTGGAGTATAGACCTGTATGAAGACTGGCTGTAGTGGAGTATAGACCTGTATGAAGATTGGCTGTAGTGGAATATAGACCTGTATGAAGACTGGCTGTAGTGGAGTATAGACCTGTATGAAGATTGGCTGTAGTGGGGTATAGACCTGTATGAAGACTGGCTTAAACACACATAGACGCCTTTCGCACGCCTAGTTTTCACTTTCGCACCTTTTTGAGGAAGTAGTTGGTCAATGGTGGCTCTGAGAATGCCTGGCAATCCTCAGTACTGGGTTTGGCTACCAATTACAAATATTACTTCGAATTAGTTCTCTATTTTCAGAGACACTGTGTCTGTGCTGTTTTCAGGCTGAACCTTCGGTAGCTGCAGGCACAAACAATTCAGCGGCTGTTGTATCGATGGTGGTCATTGTCGTCGGAGCTTCATACGTGTTGTGGACATGTCGATTGAGTCAGGTGAGTTTCGTCAGGAATTGTTGTTTGAATTTTCGACTTCATTCATCTGTCACGTCCTTGTATGTGACGACTGCTGCCTTATAGTCCTGTGACAGCAGGGTCTACGTAGTGAGCAGCTCTGTGCCGAGCTGCCACGCCCTTTTGATACAACGTGGTTCGGCCAGTGTCTTGTCCCACGTGCTTAGCATGTAGGTTGAGCGACACACGCTTTCCCACGTAGGTGACATGCCTTCTTGGCATGGCACATCATGTGACCCAACGTCGGAACCTGGTCAGGTAGGTTCTCGCATTGTACATTTCCTGGAAGTGTTTCTCTTCCTGGAAATGTGACTCCAGGCTTTGTGCAAAACCACGTCGATACGACGTTCTACAGGTTTCCAGGATGCCTCGGTGCTTTGTGCAAAGAGCCAATACTAACAGAGCTAAGTGCGAAGAGCGCAGAGCCAAGACGGGCGGCGCAAGAGCCAAAGCCGTCACCGCGCCCGGTCAAGGGTATCACGCAAGCAGAGCAAAGAATATCGCAGAACTTACCCATAAGAAGCCGCTGAGCAATGGCACGTTGGGTGAGCGGGCTCCCCAACGTGACCCTCATATACGCACATTTTACTCTGATGTGGGTGAGCGTGACAATCTTTGTCTGTTGATCGTGTGGGGTTGAACTTGGACCAAGCCAGCTATATTGGCTGGCCCCTGGGTTGTGTTGGGCTTGTCGTGAGGCCACACGTCTATTCAGTCGCCCCTCGTAGTGATTTCTGGGTCCGGTCACGGAGCACAGGGATGCGACATTTGGTGCTGTGACCAGGATGGTCTAAGTTCTCCTCACTCCGTAACTGCAACGACACGATGTCCACTGCAGTCTTTTGTGAACAACCTTGTCTCTGATAGCAGGTCCTTGGCGATAGACGTGGCAGAGCAACAGCAGTGTTGGACGCTCCAACTTGGTACGAGGAAAACTTCGAGTGCGTTCCTCTTTCGGATCCAGCACTGGCTTTCGTTCTGTTTCTCGTGTTCCTGTAGCGCTGCAGTGCGAGTTTGTAGTGCACAACGAGCTTGCTTTGCTGCGGACTACATGGCGGACACCAAGGTGCGAATTTTTTTGCCAGTTGCACGATCAATCAAGGAGTTGTTTGCATCCATGCAGTTCTCAAGTACAAGTGCAGTGCATGTTTTTTCAGCTTCAGATATGGAAGGGTTCGTGAACCCGTGTACCATGTGTACGCACATGACCTGTAAACAGGGCTTGGGTCCTCTTTGCACAGCGTTGTGAAAATAGTCACTACGAGTCGGCACTAAGAAAGCTGCTGTCGCTACCAGCGTGGTTTGGGCGCATGGCGATCCCTGTGCTCTCGGTCGAGGCCGAGAAAGAGTTTTCTGCCTCCAGACATAATTATGGCTCCTGTGGCTTCTTGCATCAGACCAGCAGCACTTCCAACAAGCACCAACGATATTGCCCTAGTTGACCAGCTGAACGAGGCAATAGCCCTTAGTCGGCAGGAGGCAGGGCGCGTTCGAAGGGAGAGAGCTACCCGAGCTACAGATCTAGTTAGCGAAACACGTCCGGACCTGACAGCAAGGCAAGTGCTATTAGTGGAGATGGCCGCTGACAAGGGCGTATCGTCTTGGGTAACGGCAGAACCATCATCCCAAATGCAGATTAAGAACTCAGAAGGTGAGCCAAAGAAAAATTTGTAACATGGGAAATTGTGGGCACAAGTTATGCGATCGAGTCCACCAACTAAACCAGATTTTGAACAGTCTAACCAACTGCCTTCCAACTTGGAAGGTGCATGGATATTAGTGCTAATTCCAAAGAGGGGAAGGCGAGCGCCATCGAGCCGAGCACAAGCTACATTCCAATGCTTCATGGAATGCTGGCCTGGTATGATGACGGGACGGCAAGACCAGACAGAACGGTCAAACCACAATTCGACAACGCAAAGCAACAACCACCCAACTTGGGAGGCTCAATATTATCAGAGATGAAAATATCAATGGGAAGCTGCGCCAGGACAAATTGTAGCAAACCGAACGCCAGTATCCTACAGTACTGTACTTATCACTAATATCCATGCACCTTCCAATTGGGAAGGCCATTGGTTAGCACTATCGAGCAGTGCTCAAGCTGACTTTCATGTCATGGAATGTCTCAGTACTCCTTGTCAGTTTTGTGCTAGATTGTGCACGTCTGGCTGTTCAAATTCTGGTTTAGTTGGTGGACTCGATCGCATAACTTGTGCCCACAATTTCCCATGTTACAAATTTTTCCCCTGGCTCACCATCTGAGTTCTGAATGCACACCTGAAGACCCGTCATGAACAATACAGCGAAACGATCGCCGTGCAATACTATACATGTCAGTTATTTCAATTAGTTAGTCCATCATTGTCATCAACAAACAATATCCTATATATTCCACTCCAAAATCGATGCGTGGTTTATAGCGCAGCCTAATTGTTTACCTCTCTTTCTCTTTGTGATTGAATTAGCGCTTCTGTTAGTTGTGTCTGGCAGGGTTCAGAAAACCTCCATTCTACACTATTCGGTTTGTGTTGGTTTGTCATGTATGTGTGTTAGTTGACTGTTAACACCTTGTGCCAGTATCTCAATCTTCTGTATAAAGTACTATTCTCTTATCCAACCCTTTTCATTCAACATCTGTTCTCCTCTCGTGAGTTCCCACTATCCTATGGAACAAAACAAGCTTGTCAGGAGTAGCGTGTATTACTTGCTGTTCTAGCGTGTTGCTGGTGAGCTGTTCATGGTGAACTGTTTCTGCTGGTGTTCCCAAGCGTCGTCTGGTCTCGTCTGGTCGAAAAAAAGAATCTTCTACTTCTACTACTATGAATCGACGGATCAAATGAAGATGGCATCATTGAATTTTGAAAGTTGGATGGCTAAACATTACTATGCAACTTGGATCAGTGTGCGAACATAGTTGGTTTGGCTTCGCTCTGTTATTGTGAGCAGCGCTGGCCCCTCGTTCTTGTACCTTGTTTCAGTGAGCATTTTAGTCGATTTCTGTATTTTGCCCAATACCCAAGGAACGGAGGAGGGTCTCTGGACCAAACCATCATAGTGGGCGAACAAGGTCCACACAGGGATAAAAGGAGCCAACTTTGAGCGAAATCGGAAATTGTGCCATGTCGGGTGGTATTTGGTCGTTACAGACATTGGTTCTTAACCCTTTGCGGTGCATCAGTCATTTACGACTGATATTTTCTGGGGGTGGGTTGTATGCTCCCAGCGCTTGTGTACATCGTCTGAATGGGCTTAGATTTGGCACACACATAGTAGATACATAGGGGAACAAGCTGAAGGGGTAAAAGACCCGGGGTCCGTTCTAAAAATATTGAGTTATCCTCGATCGTAGTCAGCGTTTCGACGCGCGGCGAAGCGCAGCGGAGCGCATCCTCTGCATACAAACTAAAGCCGCGTGCCCCATCTGACTGTATACTTGGGAAAAGAAACGATGTCTTGTTGCCGAAGTACAACACACTTGTTTCTTGTCGTTCGAAAATGGACGCGGAGCAAGCTCTCAATCTCTTACAGAACCTCGAGGCCGACGATGAGCCTCTGCCTGCTGAGAGCTCTGACTCTTCTGAAGGCGACTTCATGTCGTCGAGCGAAGAGGAAGAGCTGGACCGAGAGCTTGACGGCTATGTCAGTTCCGATGACGGATCAGCTGACGATCAGGTGGACGACGATGTTGGTGATGAGCCTGTTCCGTTGCAGGGCCAAGGACAACCAAGAGGCGGAGGGCGTGGTGTTCAGCAGGGTGGAAGAGGACAAGGACAGGCAGCCGTAGCGAGGGGTCATGGCGGTGGTGCAGGTCGTGGCGGTGGCGCAGGCCGCGGTGCTGGCGCAGGTCGCGGTGCTCGCGCAGGTCGCGCTGCTGGCGCAGGTCGCGGAGCTGGCGCAGGTCGTGGAAGAGGCCGAGGACGCGGTGCTGGACTTGGTTACGCACCGTTGTCGTCCATGGATGTCGTCGATGACGATGGACCTCAGCAGATTCCTGTGTTTCAGCCGTCCAGTGAACCTGGACTAAAACTGCCTCCTGGGTTTGTTGTCGACTCGGAGGCGAGTGTCTTCAAACTATTTTTCACACCTGAAATAGTAGCAGACATTGTCAAGTTCACGAATGCCTACGCTGATGCACACATCGACCAGCGCCCTTCCTACAAAAATAAAGATGGCCTATGGACAGCAACAACAAGTGCAGAAATGTACAAACTTCTTGCCCTACTTCTCTATATGGCTTACCTTCCTCGTCCCGAACTGGCTGATTATTACAAAACTACTTCTCTCTTTGCTGGTGGTTATGCCAGGCTGATGATACCATCCCACAAGCGGTTCAAGGCGCTGATGTCCTTTCTGAAGGTTGTGGATCATACAACTGAGAACCCGGAAGACCGTCTCCGAAAGGTGCGTCACCTGATCGAGCATTTTCGCACAAAGTGTCGTACGTTATTCAAGCCGTCACAAAACATCGCGGTGGACGAACGGATGATTCGGTGCAAGGGCCGCGCATCTTTCATCCAGTACATGCCAGCAAAGCCGACAAAATGGGGGTTCAAAGCGTTTGCCCTCTGCGACAGCGCTAGTGCCATTCTGTGCGACTTTGAAATTTATACTGGCCAGGGCAATACCGCAGGTGGACTGGCGCATGATGTGGTGATACGCTTGGTGGAGTATCTAGGCAACCAGCACCATGTCGTGTACGTTGACAATTTTTACACGTCTGAGAAGCTGCTGATGTCCCTGAAGAACCTGAATACCAGCATCGTCGGAACGATACGACAGAATCGAATCGGCTTTCCGGCAGAAATGAAAGTCGACTCGAAACGGTTCGAAAAGTGGGCAGCGCGGGGGACGATCCGCTACATTCGCAAGCAGGATGCATTGTATGTGCAATGGAAGGATAAGAGGTGTGTATCAGTCCTCTCCTCGATCCATAGGGGAAACAGTACTGTCATGGTTGCAAGGAAAACCAAGGATGCACAGGGTCACTTCCTTCAAATTGACATCACTCAGCCTCGGTGTATCGCAGACTACAACCGTAGTATGGGTGGTGTTGACACGTTCGACCAGCTTATTGAAACATATCGCACGCTACGACGAACGAGAAAGTCGTGGAAAAGTATATTTTATGATTTGATTGATGTTGCTGCAGTCAATTCTTTTCGATACTTTGAAATATGGCGTGCTAACCACCCCGGTCAACTGCCACGTACAGCACACAGTCGGCATTCCGATTTTCAGTCTGGCCTTATTCGGCAGCTGGCTGAAATTGCTGTGGATGAGCCCCCGCCCAAGCGAACCTATGTCCAAGCTGGTGTCCACGCTCCACCGCCTCCAGCAGCACCAGCAGCTGAACAAGAACCCGTAGTGGCAGCAGGAGCAGCCGCACCAGCAGAAGCCGCCGTACCAGCAGAAGCCGCCGTACCAGCAGTAGCAGCCGCACCAGCAGTAGCAGCCGCACCAGCAGTAGCAGACGTGCCAGCAGAAGCCGTCGTATCAGCAGTAGCAGTCGCACCAGCAGTAGCAGCCGCACCAGCAGTAGCAGACGTGCCAGCAGTAGCAGACGTGCCAGCAGAAGCCGTCGTACCAGCAGTAGCAGTCGCACCAGCAGTAGCAGCCGCACCAGCAGTAGCAGACGTGCCAGCAGTAGCAGACGTGCCAGCAGCAGCCGTCGTACCAGCAGTAGCAGTCGCACCAGCAGTAGCAGCCGCACCAGCAGTAGCAGACGTGCCAGCAGTAGCAGACGTGCCAGCAGAAGCCGTCGTACCAGCAGTAGCAGTCGCACCAGCAGTAGCAGCCGCACCAGCAGTAGCAGCCGCACCAGCAGTAGCAGCCGCACCAGCAGTAGCAGCCGCACCAGCAGGAGCAGCCGCACCAGCAGTAGCCGCACCAGCAGTAGCAGCCGCACCAGAAGCAGCAGCCGCACCAGAAGCAGCAGCCGCACCAGAAGCAGCCGCGCCAGAAGTTGTACCAGCCGCACCAGCAGCAGTAGCTGAACCAGCAGCAATAGCAGCAGCTGCACCCGAGATGCACATACCCAAGTACGATGCTCAAAGGAAAAACTGTCAGCAATGCTATGACGTTGACAAGGTTCAGCTCAGGGTCACTACATACTGCAAGGCCTGTGGAGTGTTTCTTCACATAGGACCACGGGATTGTTTTGACAAGTACCATACACGGAATTTTGCCTGAAATGTTGCTGGCACAAGACTGCACTTTGTAAATGCACTACAACGTGGCATCGTACCTTTCTAATGCGGACTGTGTTTACCACCATATGCAGTATAACTTGTATGCCAATCGGTGCTGCATATCTCACAATGTTTTGTTCCTTTTTCTCATGCAAAGAGCAGACTCATGTATACACAGGGATGGTGACTTGGGCTTTTGGAATGTTTTTTTTCACAGTAGACCGGGTAGTGATATCGGCTGACATAGTGATGTTCAGCATGGCGTGTTCTATATTTCCATTGGCTGGTGTATCCTTGTGAGTGTTTCCTATCCCTTTCCAGACTCTTTCTGGTGCAGACCACCTACTTTTGTGGAAAATTCAACCACTATATCTTAGAAGCCATGGTGATGGCTGAATTGGACCGTTCGTACTATCGTTGCCAATAGTAATTTGATATTTTCGTCAATATTACTTGGAAACAAAGCGCTGGACATCTTTTCATCCTATTCCTTGTTCTTTTCTGATGCGAAAAATGTGCTCATGCGTATATAAAAGTTGAACGGTTGTGGAGTTACAGTGATTCTTGTCGGAGTGGGTAGAAATGTGAATTTTTGGCCAAATCAGTGGCACCTCAAAGGGTTAAAGGGGAAGTGCATTGATTTTTCGAGTAGGGTCCAGAAGAAAGACAATTTGATATCGGTTCGAATGGCATATCTCTCGCTTCCATACGATAAGCCAAACTTGCCAAATCGCCAATTGTATGCTCACGTTGCCATAGCGACCAGAGCAGTGATGACGTATGAAAGGCTTAGCTCCTCCACAGAGAAGGTCGATCACTGCAGAAATTGGTCATTTTTCAATTGTCTTATTGTATTCACGATGTGAAAGAAGTGCTGTGTTCAATGCTGTTAGTGTCGTGAACTATTTATCGCCCTTCTTATGCATTTCCCTAGGCTGACTGCGCCTAGGAAATGGTTTCCTCCAGGACAAGATGCTTGGAATTCGCCATCTCTCCTGAGACATTTTCAGCAAACTTTCAAACCTACGACATTATTTCATTCGTCAATCTCCACCACCCGTCGTCTCACCTGGCTTCAGAAGATGTTACGAGAGATAGCAGAGTCGCCAGGAAGCATCACATTTATCTTCAGGAAGTGGAAAGAGCAAACGGCATGGTCCTTGGTTGGGGGAAATGCTGAACGTCTGATTTGTCCCAACCAAGATTACAGCATTTTGTTCGTCACTATTTTCGCTTGTCTGCTGGTGGCTCCGCACTCCAGCTTTCTCCTGTCGGTGTCACGTCCCAGTACACAACCGAGAGGACTACTAACAAACAGTTCACTGCACTAACAGCATTGAACACAGCCCTTCTTTCACTTCGTGAATACAATAAACCAATTGAAAATGACCAAATTTTGCAGTGATCGACCTTCTCTGTGGTGGAGCTAAGCCTTTCGTACGTCATCACTGCGATGGTCGCTATGGCAACGTGAGTATACAATTGGCGATTTGGCAAGTTTGGCTTATCGTATGGAAGCGAGAGATATGCCATTCGAACCGACATCAAATTGTCTTTCTTCTGGACCATACTCGAAAAATCGGTGCACTTCCCCTTTAACCCTTTATGGACGGATTAGTAGCACAGTATGCACCAGAATTACAAAATGTCAGTACAATTTTCAACTTTTCCATGTCATAACTTTGGTGTCCTTCACTTGATTTTCACAATCAAAGGCTCATTGGAAAGCTCTTGGGGAGAGCAACGCCAAGGTACCAAGCTCCATTATCCAGCCACTACAAATCAGGCGCGGTAACACAGCAAAGTTGTCTCCAAGCCTGATATGCAAGCAAATTCGTCCCATCAATGCCATTCCACTCGACTCAGTCATCGCAGAACGCTCAAATCTGTTTGAGACGATTCAAACTTCAGCCTGCTACGTCATTATCATGTGCTCAGTCGCTCAAAGAGCACACGAAAAGGGATTTCCCCCCAAAATGGCGAAATGATCGATCACAATTTGAATTTGCCGAGGTAATAATCCGGCGTGCGATATCTCTGGCGTCCGACATCGTAACTCTTCCGCGATTGTTGCATTGGACAGCTTGGAGTTTCCGCTACCACGTAGACCCTTTGATTGTGGAATTTGCTCAAGAAACGATGGAGTTACGAAGATTTTACCGCCTGCAGACTTTCGATCATAATTATATGATCAAAACTCGTGCAGTCCGTCAATAAAGGGTTACAACCTGGTTTAGGTGGCCACCCAGCGGTGCGAGAAAATGCGTTCGTTAGGGCCAGGTGGTGTATGGAATCGTCTACACACATGTACATGACTGTACTTTCATGATTGTACTCATATTGACAGGTGTGTAGCATAGCATTGTTTATTTGTCACCTTTTTTGACTGCCTGCACTTGCTTCTGAGCGCCCTTCCACCCTGTTCCAGTTGATCACGTTTATATCTAAAACCTGCAACTTCTCCATACATTTTCAGGGCATAGCTGAAGGATTTCATTTAGCTCGGACAATGTCCTTCCGTTTTGAAATCTGTCCGGACATGCCTGGACATTTTCCACAACACATTTTCAGGGTGTTTCTTCTTCTTCTTCTTTTTTTTTTTAGTACTACATGTACATGTACTGCAGTAGCAGTCCAACCCATCGATTCAAGTGCGAAGTCGACACCAACGGTCGAAAGTGTGACTGTAGCAACAACGGGTTGCTACAGGCGGATCAAGTAAATATTATAGTGAAGTCTACGCCTGAGACTACGGCGTACATGTTAGTTGCACGATATGCAAGTATCATTTGGCACGAAGCTCCGAAGAAAGCCCAGCTCTGCATAAAAAGGTCGAAAGGTCGCTGCTCTTTTTTTTACTTTTTTGACCGGACACTATGTCCGGTGAAATTGAAAACGTCCAGTCAGTGGCCGAAAATGGCCGGAAAATGTCCGATATTCCGGCCGCTAATCTATGCCCTGATTTGACCATGGGAGTCCTGTCAGCTGTCAGACTTGCGGGCAGTGTATATTTGCATTGCATTGATGCCCATGCAGAGAATCGCATAGGGTCGTACCAAAAATGTCTTTTGTTTCGGGTAACATGGCCCGAAAAGTACGGGTCGGGTGGTCGGCTTTTTTTGCTGCTACTTTTTATGCATGCCAGATCTAGGGGGCATTCGTTTTTGATCTACAGGTTTTGGTAGAAACTACTTCTTTGGGTAGAGGTGTTTGTTTTTTTCTACTCAAAAGGGGAGATTCTACTTTCCTCTATCGGCTCTACCAGGAAATAAGTTGGTAGAAGTCGGTAGACGTTGGTAGAGGTATGGCAAAATCAAGGAGTTGTACACAACTCCATACAGAAAAGAAACATTTCACCTACATATAGTAAAAAAACTACTAAAACCGGTAGAACAACGTTTGTGCACTTACCTCTACCATCTACTTCCTCCGCGTCATCGAAATTGTCGCAGTTTGACTTTTGATATAAAACGGGGTATATACTCACCAGCACTCGTACCAGAGGCAAGGAATCGGACCTAGGCGATAGTCATCAGTATAGGGTGACGGCAAAGTTCTATTTTCTGTTATTGGAAGCTGGAATTTTTGAACTAGAAGCATTTCTTCGCTGGTTTTTCATTGCGATGGTAATTTCGACTCGCTGAGATCAGTCAGGCGTTGCAGCCTGCACATTTCTCGTGCTTATGGCCATTCACTCAAGCCTCATCACTGTTTTACCTAAGCTGGGGTGAGAATGACTTCGTGGAACAAGTGGCAGCACTTGGAGACACATCGAGGGGTCAGCAAACTAAAAGCCTGCAACAGCGATAAAATTTGTCGCTCTGGCTGAGACACTCAGTACATGATTGTACCTGCAAGAGCAGTGTAGACTCTACACGTAGTGCTAGTGATGCACGCGCAGGTGCCGTACCATGGTATACCAGTGATGCTGAAAAAGAGGGCGCGCTGGACGTGATAGTACACTTACCTGCATGAGCTGTGACCACACAGCTAAAATAAATAGGCATGCCACGGCTAAAAAAAAAGTTCATTTCAAGATCGAGGTGATTCCGCCGACGGTAATCAACCGACCTCGCAACGATCGTGTATTCTTACTAGGCTTCGTTGGTGGTGAAGTAGAAATCACCCAGAGCTAGCAGACAACAAGCATAGCAGCTCTTGTCCTGTGGAGAAAGTCAAAGCGTTTGAGATGAGGCGCGACCAACTTTCACCCTTCCTTGAAATATTTCGGAACGATATTTTTGCGTCCATTGACATTAGCGACGACGAGGACTTCATCTCTGCATGAAAAGTCTCAGTCCAACTGTCCTGGAACGTTACTCTAGTCTTCAGACTATCATACCGTGTAATAAGTTTTGAATGGCTTAGCTTATGGAGTTATCAGTAACAAGTGACAAGTCACTAGTCAAACTGCGACAATTTCGATGACGCGGAGGAAGTACCTCTATCGTTAGAGTGACTCTACTCTACCAGGTAGGTAAAAACGAACGCAGCCATAATTGCCGCTACGGTATGCACATGTGTACAGTACACAGCCCGGATACAAAAATGTGTGGTCGACAAAGCAGGCATACATGTACATGTCAGGGTGTACTAAAGAGTGGGTTTACTGCACTGTATGGCGCTGCTACATAGCATTCTCAATCAACAGCTCAATTAGACTGCCACAAACAGTCAAACACTAGTCACACACAGAGTAGAACTTGGCTGTGACTCAGACACCGAGCAGAGCAGAGCTCCGAGACGTTGCGCATCAACACATTGTTCAGCGATCATTGCGGGCCAGGAACTACAACTTCCTGTTGCACTAACGTAAAGAAAAAGAATCGACGTCCGAACTCGAAATGAAGTCAAACATCATCGCTCTTGTTAGCATCGTGGTGGCTTGACCCGTTTTCGGTGGAGGAAGCAAACACTGCTTTGAAGTGAGCGGCGCACCCCGGATGAAGAGTTCCCAACAAATTACTATGGGTACAAACCGTCCGTACTCTAACAATGCAGGTGTTGACATCGGTCCCACAGCCGTCAACTAGAGTGACGGAAACGGCAGGCATAATCGTAAGTTTCTCAACTAAAGCATGTCGACATCGAAAACATTAGACTTGGCACCTGCAACAACCCGCAACAAATCCGACTCGATCAACTTAACTCGAAACAAAGGACCGAAATGTCTAGTATAGCCAGAGCCAGAAAGGAAGAGCCTGGCACACTGCGGATAGAAGAAGTGTGCTTACGTACATGTATACGCGTATGATACTCACATATGCATGAACATTATACAACAAGAAAAAAACGATCGGCGCTCAAAACATCTGTCGGTCCGGTTACCCGAAACAAATGACTTTCTGTGTGTGGCTTAGTAAGAATATTTCAAATAATCAAAATACCTGGTTGCGTTTCTACTGTAAACCGGCAAGCCTTCGCGATCCGGATTACTTTGTGTGGTTTTCGCGATGGATGTGAGATCTCCAATAGCAAACATCTGCAGATGCTAATTTGTCTTTGGTCACAAATAG